CATGGTCTACAGGGGTTTATGGTTAAAAATAATGAAGGTGAGTCAATGGAGGCACACGATCTTAGTCATATTTCGTAAAAGTGAGTCTGTTGTGTAAAAAATCCAAATTTTAACAACGTTTTCACAACCTCAACCTTTCAAGAGACATTTGAAAACGTCGCACAAATATGACGTCACTAAAATTCAAACTACAAAACTATTGATCTTCCTGAGATTTTAATTTAATGATGTATAAGAGCAGCTGAAAACTAATATTTATACAAATTTTTGCTTCGAATGGGTACTTGGTTTTGTGACACACTACGTTTGAATTTCTAAGCTTTTGCCTTATGCAGCATTTACATGATGGCCTAGAGAGCTGTCATGCTGGCTAAAAAAAGTGACTTATTTTGGGGAATTTGGCTATACATGTATCTGAACAGTTCATGTCTTAGAAAAGGTATTATTTTAATGTTTTAGAGTTCCTTGAGGGATAAATTCACACTTTTGTAGCAAAATTCAGTGACAGATGTTTCTGTTGGTTTCCGGCCGCCATGTTGGTGCCCCTACGGATGGGCACCAGCATAGCGTCTCCATACAAATCTCTATAAATTTGGGTAAAACATCTCTCCGCATATCTTGCATAAGAAAAATTGCTGTGACCAGAATTTTGGCGAGAGTCTTTGCATATTTACCTTCTTTCATTTCCCAGTTTCTGGACTTTGTCTATTGAACGGTTTTGATTTATAATTTGATCTATTTTGAATGGCGTGACATCGATGGTGCATTTTGCAAAAAATTCAAACTTTGAGTGGATAGATTTTCTTCTTCTTCTCTTTTTTTTTTGCTAAATGTGGAAAATCGGTAGAGAAAATGATCCATCAAAAGAAAAATCGGGGTCACCGAACGTCCAAGATTGTTAAATCCTGGCAAAGCTATAGCAAAGGCCATCTGCCCAATCATTGTTCATTTTATTACTTAGTGCGCGCTCTCACGCACAGGGATTCACGTAGGGGCCAAACCACCCTCCCTAACATTTCATGAAGGCTATATTTGCTTGGTTCATATATTTCTTAACCAAGTTTAGCAGATGAACTTTCTTTGTTCTCCAGTTTATTTTAATTTAGAAGTTGTGACAAAATGTCAGATTATGATGTCACCAAAACGTGCTATATTTTTTTGTAAAATCTGATGTAAAGATTATGTCATTGGAAAGGCCCTGACTTGAGGAGTAAAATGCTGGAAACCGTTTTTTGCTATGATGATTATTTTTTGAGATATGGTAAATTAAATATCTTTTAGGTGTCCCTCCTGGAATTTGCTTAACCATACTGTCCTTCCTAAGTCAGTCTCTCTGGTTTATTTTTTTCAGTTTTTTTTCTA